TGGAGGAAAGGGCAGTGGAAACACTTGGAGAACTGGCTGGAATTCCTGCTTTTCAACAGTGGGAAACTGAGTAACTCCAAGCAGATAAATCAGCTTTCAGGGAAACTTGGCTAAGAGTTTGTGTTTTTATTATTTTTAGGTTGTACTGAATGGTTACTTTATATAGATTTTGAGTTTCATATGACTCTACATTCTCTCTTCTAGGCCTACCTGACCGTATGTAAAGATGTCATAATGGTTGGCCTTGGAAATCTCACGTTTCAAGCACATGTTCTGGATTTGGCTCTTCCAATTATACAGACAGGTACCATATTTTGGACTAATAGCAACATTTTCATTTATGCTTAGCTGACTTTTCTTATATTAGCAATTTTATTCCCTAACCTCCAAGGATTGGAGGGAACACTGGATTCATACTTAAAATATTAATTGTAATGCAGGAAAATTTCAGCTAAGGATGCTCAGAAATTAAATATATTATCTCCACTTGTAAACCATCACTGTTTGCTGTGTATAACTGAGCTTCATTCTAAGCTTGTACCTGAAGAATACTGCATTACAGTGTTTATATTGTGATATTTATCTCTTTCTCTAGAGAGAGGTGGCTTTTGTGCTTCAGTGTTACTGTGTGCTCTCAAAGAAATTGTTGAAGCTTCTTTAACTCACAATACTGAGACAGATGAAGTGGCCAATCTTTTCCACACTGTACAGAACATCTTGCAGAAAGTTTTGGCATGTGTGGCACGTAGACTCAAGAAACAGCAGGAAGAAGGGATTCAGGTATCATATTACAGTTGAAATTGCTACTTAATATGTAGATGAATCCATACTTTTTATACAAATACGTTGTGCTTAGACACTTTGAGGCTGTTGCCTCACTGTTACCTACTGTTTGAGTAGACGTGATTATATTCAGTTACGTTTTCTAACTTTTCTTGTTACTAGGGTTTTTTAATCCATTTTGGTTTTATGGTGACTGAAGAACTAGTAAATCGAAGAACAGTGTGTTCTGTTGCAAATTATTCTGCACTGTGCTAATCCTTCTAGGCTGTTAATCTTATCTGCAATTAAATGAACTTTCTCAATCCAGAACAAAGAATTTATTTATATATATTTTGTGATCTTGGTAGTGATTATATTTCTTTCTTTCAGCCTGAATGATATCCAGTTCCAAATGTGTATGATGCCCTAAAAGTCTTCAAAATCTCACATCTTCACGGAAAAGCTAGCTTCCTTTTTTTTTTACAGCAGAGAGTAAATAGATCACTCTGGAAAATCTGATGGTCTACTTTTCACGACTTCTGAAAAGCATTCAGTTCCTTTTTGCTACAGCCATTGTTTTGTTCATGTCTTTCAACTTATGAGTAGACTTCCCAAACATTTCTCATTCCTCCTCTGATCCTCCTCTGACCACAAGGTCTCAGAAGCTTTCAAGGTGTGGTCTGCATTTCTTCACAGAGAAGCTTGCTGAAATATTTCAGTTATACTCAAGCAATCTGAAAAAAAAGCTTTGTTTTTCTTTTTGGTTGCAGTTGATTCACTCTATTCAGATGCCTCTTGGAGAATTCATTCACGCGCTGCAGTGCTGGCATTCATCACTCCCAGCAGTGCACCAGGGTGTACTCTCCACTCTCCGGGCTGCAGTAGTAACAGACATAAATTGTCTGCTACAGATGGTAAAGTTAATCCTGACTTTTTTTGATTTTCTTATTTTATACTTACTGCTTTTTGAGCATTATGTTGGAACAACAGAGCTGTATTTAAAAGGTTGATCTTTGTGCTGCAGATGATGATTTGTGTGTGTTGACGTGGAGCAAACAGGAAGTTTTATTTGCCATAATTTCGTATTACAGTTCATCTCTCAGATTTATGGCTACAGCTGCATGAGAACAGAGTTGTGCTGATACCTGGTTCACTCTTTGCCTCTGACAGAAGAATTTATAAACTAATCAGTGTTGGACATTACCAATGTAGTTTTTGAGATCTCCCTTCTATGTGTTTTTGTGCTGGGTCTGGCTGGGAAGGAGTCAGCTTTCCTCCCAGCAATCCCTCTGGTGTTGTGGTTGGCATTTGTGGCTAAAACGCTGTTGAGAACACAGCAGTTTGGGCTGTTGAACAGTGCTTTCAGAGTGTCAAGGTTTCTCTGTTCTCTTCACCCCCACTGTAAAAAAAAAAGGCAAGCAGGTTGAGGATGGGCAAGAGGCTGAGAGGGGACACAGCCAAGGCACTTCACCCAAACTGATCCAAGTTATTCCCCACCATCCAATGCTCTGCTCAGCAATAACAGCTCAGGGAAAGGAGGAAGAGAACAGGAGGTTCTAAATGTGCCTCACTTCGTCTCACCCAACATTAGGGGACTTAGGAAGTGAACCACTGATCTCTGACAGATTCTTGTTCCTTGGAACAGCCCCCTGAGGTTCAATAGTCCTGTTCCAAAGCAGGCTGATGTCCTGCTTGGCACTGATCACTTCTGTATTCTGGGCTTCAAATCAGAGCCATTGCTCATACTGCATCCTTTTTTTGATTCCTTTGGGTTTTGTCTGGATGATTTCCAAGTATCTGAGTTTCTTTGGAAAGTAAAGAAAGAATACATAGACAGAAGTTATTTTATTTATGTTCTTAGAGTCCAAGGAACCATTACTGTCCTTGAAGGAGAAGGGTGACATTCCCAATGCATTTCCTAACGCATGAAGTGTTAGGAGCAAATACAGTTAGTGAGGTTGGAAGCTTTAAGAACTAAGAAGGAAATGCAGAGGCTCTGGAGCAGAGGCTCTTCAGCAGAGGCTGTAGTTTTGCTGTGCTTGCTGATGTGTCAGAAATAGAGCAAGACAGAGTTGCCAGAAAGTACCGAGTACAAGAGAGCTGCTGCCAAGGTTGTGTGTTCAGAGGAGCTGAGCCAATAGCAGATGTTCACCTGCAAATGTGAATGTATCAGCTGGGGGGCTGTGGGATGACAGGTGCTCTTTACAGATGATGCAGAGTAAACATTTATGGGCTTGAATGATACTGGAGATTGATACTCATAAATTATGAGTGTTCATTCCAGTCATTCACCTGGGCTGAGGTTTTCCCTGCCCCCAGGTTATTGTAATAGTAAATCAGAATTCAGTTCCAACTAAATATTTACCATGCTGTTCAGAACTCGATACCAAAAAGAGCAGGGGTTCAGGAAATCACTGTCACCAAAGTTATTTTTAGGAATCAGGTATGTACTCTTTATTTAGCTTCGAACCCAGAAGGTTCTCAGTTGTGTTTAATAGGCTGTGCCGTTGTAGTTAAATGAAACTTCTAGTCAGGAAAAACTGCAGAGAATATTTGCCTTGGTACAAATACTGTTTATGTGGTTTAGTTTTAATTTAAATTAGTTTTGTTTATTTGGACACAACACAGTTGGATTAAGGCTTTCAAAGAACACTTGTGAATATTCTAGTTATTTCAGGATAGGTCTTGGTTAGTGTAATTATTAAATACAGGCTTGCTTCAGTGTTTTCTGCACACATATACTTCTTAATCTGCAAAAGTTGTTGACTTTTTTCTTTCCAGGCTTCCAGTGAAGAAGATGTCACTATACCAAAGACTATTTCAGACCTTCCCCCTCTTTCAAGCAGTTTAATGGCCATAATTATGAAGTCAGTTAATGTTGTCAGGTAAATGTTTCTATATTAATTTGTCCAAAATTGTTGCTAAGGTAGAACAGTTTATATGTTGTCAATAAAGTTTTAATTTATAAATTTTGAAGAACTAGTTGCTTACTAATTTTACCTGGACTACTTCTCTTGCCATATTGCCTGTAGGTATTGGTTGCTTGGTTTTTTTAACCAAGAGTATTTCTTATTTACCAGATTGTTTATCCTAATGAGTTCTTTCATTGTACACCTTGGCTTGCTTCTTTCATAAGATACTTATAAACATTAGTCCCCTCAGTACAGAGGTATTTAGATGGGATAAAATATTTGCCAGAAATAGAATTAATCCTTTAATTGAACTTCTGCAATGAGGTGATGTATTAAAGTCACAATATTCAAAATAAAGTATCTTGAGTCTTAAAAGCCTCCAAAAGCAAGGCTAAACCTAAAGTACTGAGTTTTTTAATTGCTATATTTAGTGGGGGCCCTGAGTATATTCTAAAATTGTCACAAGGGAATTAATTTTGCTTAATTTGTTCATATTCAATTTTTATTTACGTGACTATACACACTAGCTTTATTTTAAATGAGAAAGGGGCTTAGAAGTCCTCTCTCCCTGATTTACCACAACTAATTCCTATTCTTAACTTCCTAATCTGAGAGGTAGTGAATATCCCTGTCTGTTCTGTTACAAGGTGCTTCTTTTCTTCTCAGTCTTTACTAGTTCTACTTGATTTTGCAAAACAAAAGACTCCAGAGAGTCCAGCAACAGTCCAGCTAATTATCCAAATCTTGTTCTTCCGTGAGGCATCAGCTGCCCATCAAGGTGTTCTCTTTTAGGAAAACAATTATTTTACACACCTCTTTTCCAAAGAGATACAGAAAATCAGTTAATCCCTCTGAAACTCTTTCTTGCAGTGGTCAAGGAGATTCTTGTCCATTCCTGATGTAGAAAACTGCAAGTTTGGACCAAATTGTTTCTAGGAGTACTTTGGAAAACACGTATCTACTAATACTTATCTTTTTGGTGCAAGTCTAGGTTAGGAGATAATTTCCATCTGTTTGTACTGGTGCCTCATAATTGAGACTACTTTTAAGGCTGTATTCTTCTATAAATCTGTATTGACAGGCCATAATCAGAGTCCAATAGTAAATCATTCAATATCTCAGAAATCCTGATGTCAGTGGAAAAGCCTTTGATGGGAGGAAATCTGCTGTGACCTTTAGTGTTGTGTGAGCACACCTGCTCCGAGTCCTGCAGCATCTGCTGTACCTTCAGTACTAATCAGTCAGCCTCTATCCTTGAATTTCAGTCCCCACAGCAGGGATAATACTGAGAGGCTTGGCAATATCTGGCCAATTGTGTGAGTGTCCTTTCCAGGGAACTGTCTGTGTAGGAACCACTTACTTACCTCTGTTGCTTACATGTATTTTTGAAGAGCTCGTTGTTCTGTTCTATTTGATCTTTGCCTGCAGGCTCATGTGCCCCTTTTTCAGAGGGAGGTGGGGAAGGGCAGCTGCAGTGATCTTATTACAGGTTAATGACATTACAGTGTTCCTTCATGGAGCTGCAGGGTGTGCTTAGTGACCCAAACAGGGATAACAGTGGAGTCAGGACTCTGATCCAAGGACTATCAGTTGCAATTTCAGAGCAATATGAAATGGATTTGGTGTTTGGTCAGGTTGGTCCACAATGATACAAGAAAACAGATGCAACACATGAGTGACTTCATAATGGTCATTTCTGAACCTGAAGAGTTCTCATCTTTTTCAGCTCTTAGAAGCAATATTAGAAGCAAAATTTTTTACTGCATTGGTTCTTAACTGCATATTTCATTTTGATATCTTTGCACAATAAAAACCTGAAGAACAGTTGAAGTCAGAGCTGGCTATTTATGGTGTTCCATTTTGGTAACAGATAATAATATTGGTAAAGTTATTTTGAAATATGTTAGGGAAAATTATTACATTACTGCTCTCAGTTTCCCCTTTAATTCTTCACAGAGCATTTAGCTTTGTGTTCTGAGAAGTATGAGGATTACAGACCTTGTCCATCTCCTGCTTTATCCCACTTGTTCTTTTATTTTTCTTTGGATTTGAGAATTGCTTCTGAGTTAAATTTGTTATTCTTACCATAAACACCTAATGACCAATTAGTGTTTGCATTCTATAGTATTGTCTTATTCCATATTGCAATTTAGTTTGGTTGCTAGACCCCTTCTGTGACTCCCTGGTTTCATTTTTCTTAGCTTGACATATGTCCCAAAACACCACTAGAGTTTGCTGGTAATACTTTCATGTCTTGCTGAAAGTGAGTCTCTTAAGATATATATAGAGATACATATTTATTTCAGATTTGGCAATCAACAGTTGTCATGTTTCTGTCCATACTTTCAATAACTAAAATATTTTTTGGAAGTGTTTCAGGGCTATACTTAGTTATAAATGATCTGCACTGGATTGTAATTGGAAATCCATCTATTTTAATACATTTTAAGTCAAAGTGTTAATTAAGCATGAGTAGTTACTAACAAACCGCTGGAGTCATAGAACGTATTTTTCTAAACTTTGGTTTAATTCAAAGTAGAAATTTCAGTGCCAATTATGTGAGATAAATTTCAGCAGAAATTTCAGTAGTTTTTTCATGGATTGACTTTGCTAAAATGTACCATGAGCTCTTAGTTTCTTTTAACAGCTACTTTCTGTTTACAAACCTTTTAATTTTCTTCCCAAGTGATTCACCACTCTGCTGGCTCTGATATTCCCAGTTACCCCATCACCACTGCTTTGTCCTGCATGGTGTCTTTGAAGCTCTGGTGGCAGGGGAGCATAATTACAAACATGTTCTGTTCAGTTCTGGTTTGAAACAAACTTGGATTATAATGTATTTTCGGGTTTTTTTTCCTTTAGGTCATTTTTAAATGAATTAATGGAAAGCATTCTCTCTGAAAAAATTAAAGGGATTTTTAGTCTAACAGCTACTGTCAGCATTGTGATGATAATTAAAGGTCAGTCAAAGCATTTTATCCTTTTTATATATTACATTTTAAAAGCTGAGTTCTCTCAGGATTTAAGGTTGTATCACTTGTAAATTATGTTTACAACCATCTGCAAACCCATCAGGTTCCTCTTTTTATCCTCAGTTGCTGAAATGCACAGGACTGTGAGAATCTAATTTAATACCTAATATTTCATTAAACTTTCTTTTATGTTAAAAATATTCTATTAAAATATACAGGGGTGGGGAGTGTCATTTTGTTTGGGCTTTTCTTTTTGATAAATCGTTATTTTTGTCCAACTTTTCAACAAAATCCTTATTTCAAATAGGTAAGCACAAAGCTGCACTCCTGAAGGATATTGCACCTGCCCTTCGAGGGAAGCTGGTGACGTGCAGTGAGGCCACCGAAGGGTCCAGTGGCACTGAAAGGTAACTGTGCTGTGGGACATGAACACCAACCCCTGCTGTCCCCTCTGCAATAACTGCCTCTGTCCTGTGCTCACATAACTCTGTTGGAGCGTTCTGAGTGAGTGATTGCGAGGTTTCAAACTGGGGTTGGGGGAAATGGTGGGATGTTGAGCCCAGCACAGCCTCAAATCTCGTGTCCTTTGGTCTGCTGGGATTGCAATCTCCACGTACTGAGCTGGGGGTTTGTTGGTTGGATTTGAAGGTGTTATATCTCAATCCTGTAAATTGCAGGGTTCAGTTCTGAAATCCAAGTCTGTTACAGCTGGTGCAGAACATGCAAAGAGTCTAGTTACTATTTCTAATTTCTAGAGGATTTTTCTCCCACACTTTGGCATTAGGCACATGAATCCAAAGCTATGCAGATGATAAAAATTGAACTGAATATAACTGATTTTGTGACCTTTCCACAGGTGATTTTATTTTACTCTTTTGGGGGGTATTTCAGTGTCACACTGGATGTCTCTCTTGTGATAAGTTTTTTGAAAGTGATTGGCTACATTGTATTTACAATCATTTATCTCAGCTCTGCCCAAGACAAGAGAATCATGACAAATGTTTTAGTCTTTAAGTGTCCCAAACTTGCTTAAGTCTTGAAATTTGTGGACATGTGATTTCTGCCTAGCTATTGAACTGCCCATGGAATTAAAAAGCATGCAAAGGACACATTATAAGCACAAACAGAGAATGTGAAGGAAACAGACTGTGGTTATGGGCATTCATCCAAAACTACTGAGAAGGTTTGCAATGCACCACAGTGGCCTAAACGTGCAGAGATCCTCATAGTCTTTCGTTCTTCAAATTGATGATCTATACTATTCTGTCAAACAGTGGATATAGACTAGATAGGCTTTAGAATAAAAACCCAAAACTAAAAAAAAAAAAACAAACAAGCCATTCTTTTACTCAGCAGTTTCTTACCCAGCCTTTCCAACCTGAGCACGCTTCTCCAGTGCACTCTTGTGATGGTTCCCTGGCCTGAAGCACATTGTTCTCTGGCATTTTAGTGACTTGCCATGGGCCTTGGGTGGCTGAGCTGTGACTCCATCCAGAGGACAGAGCTCTGGGATTTGTTCCACTGCCTAAAAGAGACCTGCAAGAAAGCTGAAGAGTTGCTTGGCTGTGAACAAATGTCCTTTGGTTAGGGCTAGCTTAGAAACAAAACCAAACACAAATAAACAAAACTCAGTTTTCTTCCCAATGAGATCATTTAATGTTGGATTGCCAACTGTCCTAGTTGAATATTTTTTAAAATAATAATAATTATCTGGAAAAGAAAGCAGGGTATTATGATTCAGTTTGCGCTCCTCGTAATCAAGACAGTAGAAAACACTGAGAAATTAAAGTGAATCTTAACATGATTAAATAAATAGGCACATTAAAATGAATAATTGCTGCTACTTGAGAGCACTACTGACTATAAATTAAAGTGAGAACACAGATAATTGCTTTATGAATCTATATGATCATCTCTGCCCAGTGAACAGGGACAAGTCAACGTAGATGTTGGGGCAGATGAAGAGCATCAGATGCTACACAGTGTTTTAATTTCCTGATATATGAGTGGCTACCTTTGTGTAATACAAACCCAAGAGATAGTTACAGACAAAATTCAGAGGTTAGGAACATGAGCATGATAACGGGAAGATTTTTTAACAAGAATCAGAATTGCAATATGAATACAAAGTTCAGAAGCTATCACACAGCTTTGTCCAGGCTTGTTGTGGATTTTGTCTCTCCAGAAGGGTAAAACAATTCATGCTGGAAAGAGGTTTGGAGGAAGTTCTGCAGTGATTAGGTTTTGCATGATGAATTAAAGCGTGTTTGCAGTTTCTCAGCTACATGGAATGTCAGACCGGGCTGGGCCTCTGGTGGCTTCTGACATGCCATTTGTAGTGCTCTGCTACTCATGTGCTAATGCACAACTAAAATGTGATTATACACAGTCTGAAATGTGCCCTGTTGTTCGTAAACTATTTTATCATCCTACTCCAGTTAGCAAACACCAAAATTTTCGTAATGGTATGCTGCAAGCGAGATCTCTGGTCATTAATTTGCAGACAGTCCTGTAGCACACGGGGCTGTGCTGCTGTGTGCTAAAATACATTACTGGGCTTTAACTCGGACTTAATACTGTTATTATTTTTTGCTTCTGAATGCATTATCTCATAATAACTCCTTGAGGGATTATTTTATTTAATACCCAGGTATAGCAGGAAATGGTGACATTCTCTAATTTCCCAGGAGACTTGGCATTCTGTGCCAGCATCTTAAATTTAGACTTAGGAGTAATCTATTACATATTAGCAATGAGAGAAAAAAGTAAAAAAAGCTGTCTGGTGTAGTAATTAAAGTGCTGCCCTTATACAAGGAATTGTTGCACTAATTTGGAAGCAAAAGTTTCCATTGTAATTTAGTCTTCCCGCTTCAGCTGAGTTAGTGGTTTCAGATGGCCCAGTGGGTCTATTATTTTAAAAATGCTGTTCAGTGCATTTAAAAATCCTGGACGACATATTGAACATTGAGAGAATTTCCTCAAGAGTAATGGCACACGCATTAGTTCAGTTTATAAAATGCAGCTACTTATGCCTAGCAAAAAAATGCAGATACAGCTGTCAATGCAGTCATTTGGAGGCAAGAGAAAAATGTCCCATCCTCTCTAAAACCAAATGTGCTAGGATAATAACTTTTTACTTAATACTGTGTATTTACATTAATTAGCATTTTGATATATGTATATTAGAATTAGAATTAGCTAATGGCTGTGCTGAAGGATATTCCTTTAGCATTACAATTTAGCTAGCTCCCAAACTCTTAATTGTATTCCCATTGCATCTGTAAATAATGACTCTTGAATTGTTTTGGTATACAACTCTGCGTTTGATTTCTCTGCCACCCACCTCAAAGTTCCCTGGAAAGGTACCTGGTGAAACTTTCTTAAACTTGTCTGTCTGGGGAGTGCACAGTTATCCCAAAGGACGGCTCGTCCAGTGTGCCAGAGGTACATGGTCCCACGTCACCAATCTATTGTTTTATTAGCCTTAAATTGTAACAAAATAAAATTTATACAAAGTAGTATTATGCCTAAACCCACGGTACTTAACTCACTGTCCTAATTTTCTCGTACGTTGTAAATTGGTTTCCTTTCACATGGAGTTTCATCATGGCTTAAACACTGTAGCACAATAGAGAGGAGCACACAGCACTGGGAATTTGGGGATCCCTGGCAGCCGCCAATCTGTCTGCTGTGGAAATGCAGAGCTGCCTCCTGCGTGTCAGGTCCGTGTCTGGTGCTGAATGCCCTGACCTGTCATGGATAATGACTGACTAACCCGGCTTATTTGGGACATCAGTCCAGGAATATGAGAAAAACAGAGAAATAAATGCTTCAGAAGTCCAAGTGACAGAATCTTTTACAGAAATAACATATGAAGGATCATGGTTAGGGTTGTTAACAGTGAAATAATATTTTTAGCAGAAGACCAAAGTGCCAAATGTTGTCTTTTGAGGGTATTTTAGAGCAGCGTTAGAAGACGTTGCATGAGAACACAACTGTGACAATGGGTGAGTGACGTGTCAGGGAATGCCAGAAAACAGCTGACCTTTGGGATGGTTTAGAAAATCCTATGAGACAAAAGAGTCAGAAAGGGACTAAGAGGGGTGTGGCGGCAGCTGAGGGAAGCAGTTGCTAATAAGGATAAGATAGAGAGCTCAGGCTTGGATTAAAGAGATGAAGAGTGAAAGGAAGAAAGTGAAAGAGTGAGAAGTGGTCAGTAAAGGACTTCACTGTGTTTGAAGAAAAGTAACAATGCTGTGAAGGAAATGAGTGGGTTCTTGATATAGATGATGAAATATTAGAAAATGTGCTTGAATTGACATAGTAATTTAAACTGGGCTGCTGTTGGTTATTTTATAGACAGAGATGATCAGCAGAAAAATGGAAAAGTTAAAAGAAAATGAATCCAGCTATTTCAAAAGCAATTTGTAAAGACATTTTTAATATTTAAACTAATATGGACTAACTGGTCAAAGAAATCATGCAGTAGCTGTACTCTGAGAACCAAATAATTGAGGATTGATTTGGCATTTAGCATTTCTAATCCTGTTATGCTTTTTTTTTATGCCATTTCAGATTTCTGTGTGAATCATCTCTGAAAATTTTGGATGAATTTTTAAATCCTTGTCCTCGCCAAAGCTCTTGTCATGCAAATTAAAGGAAGGAAGACGTATTGCTTTTTAAAAAAGATCTTGTAAAATTATGAATAAGTAAAGTTTATTTTCTGCTATGCTGTACATTTAAAGCAAGGAAAAATGTATAAAAGTGTATATAAATATTATGAAACAGTAAAGATTTTTCAAAAGCTGCAAAGAAGTTATTCTGTATAAAAATGTCTTTGTGGGAGGAATGTAAAATCAGGTTTTTTGTATCTTTGTTTTTGAGAAATAAAATTAATTGTATCATAGATATTCTGAGACTGAGGTACCACCTCAGTCCCTGGGAAGACTGCAAAGCCTCCTCCTAGAGGTTTTGGAAATGAATTTTGTTTCAAGACACATGTAGGACAAAATGGTGATTGGGAATAGCTATTCTGCCTAACCAGCCAAATTTCCCTCCCTTTTGTGGAAGAAGAGAGAGCAGAGAATGTCATGTTTCATGTCCTTAGCAAAGACTTTTACACAGCCTTATACAGTATCCTTTCAGCCAAACCGGAGAAAGATGGGATGGATGTACAGACATAGAAGGTGGGTGGAAAATGTGCTGGACCAACGGACTTGAAGGATAACACTGGCCTGGAGTGAGATTTAAACTGGTGTCTGTGGCATTCCTCGGGGTGCCACTGCTACTGAACACTTCCATGAAGAGCTTGGGCAGGAGGATGAACTGTGACCATGGAGCACTGGCAGGTGACACCAGCTTGGGAGCAGTGGCTGATCCCCAGGGGCAGGGCTGTTCCACTCAGGGGATCCTGACAGGCTGGGCTAAGGATCGACCAGTCTCCTGACGCTCAGCAAAGACATGTGCTCTCCCACCCATGAGGGGCTCATCCTGCGCACCGGTGTAGGCACAGGGGACAGAGGGGCTCGTTGTGTCTGCACCTGCCTGGATGGGGACTAAGAAAAGACTTTTCTCAGAGGTGCACATGAAGAGAATCGAGGCAACTGAAACAACTTGCAGCAAGAGAATTTCCTGTTGGATGTAAAAAACAATCATTATGAGAGTGAATTGAAACTGGAAATGGAACTGTAACAGGTTACTTGGAAGGGCTATGGGGAGATTCATCCTTGGAGAAGTGCAGAACTTGACTGACAAGGAGGGCTCTGACCACGCGTTGTGACCACAAAACCCCACAGAGCACTCCAGGCTGGGCACAGAGTGCCTACAGAGTGACCAGGCAGAAAAGGAGCTGGGGTGCTGACTGACAGCAGCTGAACATGAGCCAGAGCGTGCCCAGGTGACCAAGAAGGCCAATGGCATCCTGGCCTGGATCAGGAACAGTGTGGCCAGCAGGAGCAGGGAAGTGATCCTTCCCCTGTACTCTGCGTTGGTGAGGCCACACCTGGAGTGCTGTGTCCAGTTCTGGACCCCTCAGTTCAGGAAGGATAGTGAGGGGCTGGAGCGGGTCCAAAGAAGGGCTACAAGGCTGGTAAAAGGACTTGAGCACAAGTCCTGTGAGGAGAGGCTGAGGGAGCTGGGAGAGCTGAGCCTGGAGAAGAGGAAGCTCAGGGGCGACCTCATCACTAAGACTCCCTGAGGGGAGGTTGTAGCCAGGTGGGGGTTGGTCTCTTCTCCCAGGTAACCAGCAACATGACAAAAGAACACAGTCTTAAAATGTGCCAGGGGATGTTTAAGTTGGACATTAGGGGAAATTTCTTCACAGAAAGAGTGATTGGGCATTGGAATGGGCTGCCCAGGGAGGTGGTGGAGTCACCATCCCTGGAGGTGTTTAAGTAAATCCAGGATGTGGCACTCAGTGCCATGGTCTAGTTGATAAAGTGATGTTGGGTTATAGGTTGCACTCGATGGTCTTTTCCAACTTCAGTGATTGTGTGATTCCCTGTCATAGCTTTGGAATTAGCCCTGCTTTAGCTGGGGATTGGACCAGATTCTCTCCTGAACTTCCTCCCAACTTGAATGTTTGTGATTCAGTGCCCAGTACAGTGGAGGGGAAATGCCCTAGCGATTAAATATAGACTTGAGTAATCAATTGCTTTATATTTAGCTATTTTTATAAACTATAGATATTTTTGTAAATTAATACTAATGATGCAGCTAATGCAGATATCTAAGCCAGTTATTTAATTTTCTTCATGCAACCAGATTCTCTCCTAAGACCAAATGCTGATTGCACAACATTATTTTATCTTAACAGAGATATATGTAAATAACCTGTCTGAGCTCGTGCGGTGGTCCAACCCCAGCCAGGCCCCAGCCAGCTGCTCCCTTGCTGCCACCACCCCTCCTGGGATGGGGGCAGGGCTGTAAGGATAAAAGTCAGAAACAAACTCATGAGTTGAGATAAAAACAGTTCAGTAATTTAGAAAAAGTAATACTATTTTTTTAAATTGTAAGGAAAAGAGAGGAAATAAGGGAAATAAAACCACCCAGACAGTGGCTCCCCTGCAACTTCACCTCTGGTTTATTGCTGAGTGTGATGTCACATGGTGTGGGACATCCCTTGGGTCAGCTGTCCCGGCTCTGTCCCCTCCCAGCTCCTTGTGCACCCCCAGGCTCCTTGGGGTGCTTGAGAACCATAGAGGGCCGTGATGCCGTGTCAGCCCTGCTCAGCAATGTCCAAAACATCCCTGTGTTATCAGTCCTGTTTCCAGCACAGATCCAAAACACAGCCCCGTAGCAGCTACTGTGAAGAAATTTGTCTCAGCCAGAAGCAGCACAGCTCCCAGTGCCGTGGTTTTGTGTTTTAGAAGGAGATTTAATAGGTATCTCCAGAAAGCAGTTGAGCCACAGATTGAAATAGCATTTGGTGACCAGCTTATATCTGGACATGTAACACTTGGTTACCTACAATTAAGGGACCTGGTTCTCACTGTGGAACTGTGCAAACGGATATTGCAGTCTCCAGCGTTGCTGAGTGGCACTGAAACAGGAGTTAACCAACTTGACCAAATTAATACAGGCTCCTCATTCTTGATTAAGATCAGTGCACAGAGCTGTACCCCCTGTCAGTCTAACCAGGCATTTACTGAGCTGCTTTTCTTTCTCTGCTAAGAGGGTGTAAGATTTTTTTCAGGAATCTGCTCTGTCAAGTGCAATGAACTGCCTGCATCCTGCTTTACGTCAGATCCATAGTTGACCTTGGTGCATAAAACTTCCCTACTGGATAAAAGCTGATTTAGCTGGAATGTTGATATTTAAAAGCAATAAAGTTCTTAATAAAAAACTGTCAATCTTTACGACAGGACAGTCAGTATGTGCATGGATTCACGAGTTCCAGATTTTCCTCATCCACAACAGTGGCCTGACCAAAAGGACTAATTCTGCCCCAGCAGGAAGCTGCAGATCTGCCAACTGTTTATCTATCAACATCTTTATAAAAACTGTGTTCCTTGGCCTTCATTCTTCTACATCTGTTAACAGGCAGGTGTTCCGGTAATGACCTTTTAAATCTTCTGATTATACAAATTACTTAATGAATATGTAAATAAGTTCCTTTTTTTTTTCTGCTTCTCAGTCTCTCAGTATTTGCTCATATTATTAGATGAGAAAAGAATCCAAAATTACTGCCTTGTTTTTCCTGAGTGTATAATTTTTCTTTTTCAGTTTTCATGGAATTCATGTACAGATGTAATACCCCTGCATCTGAAAGAAATAAAGGTCATTCTATCAACATCAGAAATAAGAAGATTTCTTCTGAATAACTCAGAGATGATACTGCTAGGAAGGGTAAGAAAATTTAAAGATAAGCCTTTGTCCTCCTGGAAGCTGGTACTCAAGTGGTTCTCAAGAGTGTTGAAATAATTTTCTGTTAGTCGTGCAGCTGGGGTACAGATTTCAGCTCAGTCTCTTGTCCAGCTCTACTATAACTGTTCTGACAAGGAAAAACATTGGCTTTCTACTGCACAAATAATGATGTTCTTGGAATTCCTTGAGCCAGGGTCTGTCAGGGCTTTCTCCTTAGGCTTTTGTGGCAAATTTCACAAGAATATCATAGCAGTTCTAGGTTTTACTTTCTGTTCTCATTGCAAACTTTAATTTTGCAAAATTTAAAATCTTTATGCTTATCTTCTGCTTGGAAGGTATAAATAAATAGGATGTTTCTTAAGCTGAGTTGTCTTTTGTAATCTGTAGAACAGAATTGTTTCATCTTGTTAATCAAAAGTGCTGTTGGGGAAGAGGTGTTGTTCTTTTGGGTTTTGTTCTAGGATAACCTTGGCATTCAGCCACACAATCCCAGCTGTACATCTGAAAACTTCCCATAATCTCAAGACAGACTGGGATCTCTTCAACTATTTCTAGAATTTGAACCTGACTTAGAATGGTGTTTTCTTGCCCATCTTTCAAGCAATTTTATTAATCAAAGATACTGCTTTGAGCAACTGGCATTGGCAGTCACTGGTAACGAGGAGCCACCTCAAGAATAAATGTTCTAGTCACAGTTGTACCCACAAATGGTCCCTTTGTGCATATACATTCAGTATAAATGATACCGAAGAAAGCAATAGCTTTAAATTACTTGCAGTAATCAACATTATCTGTAAGGACTTGGGCCCTTTTTCTTTTTGATGACAATGTTCATTTGCTCTGTTGTCTGGCTGAGAAACGAAGCCCAGCAACTGCCATCTATCACAGCTCCAACTTGTGAGCTAAGGAAAAACCAGGAGAAACTCTCAAGCTTCTTCCTTAGCGAGTGTCTGCAGGTATGTATCCAAGCACACAAACCTTCAGATTTGCCAGGGAAATGAGAAAATATCCACCTTGCACCTGCTGTTTACTCCATGAGAGCTGCAACTCACTTTGCATTTAAACTCCCGTGTGCTGCTGCTCTCGAGTGCTTTGAGGTCTTCTGACTTACAGAAGGAAATCAGAGAGACTAATTTTGACAAAATCTTTCACCTGACCCTGACAACGCTTAGTTAAGGACACTTCTGTTAATGACTGTGATGTGAAATCACCAGACACACCAGCAACCTGCTCATATTTGCTGATCTCCATCGGTGGTGTGTGTACCAAGGCTGACCAACAGTGTCCAGCGGTGCCTGTGCCAGGAGCACCTGTGCTGGCAGCTGCCCACTCTGGAGGGGAGAGCTTGGCTTAGCACTGGCACCTTGACAAGTAGCTGGCCAAGGGCAGCTGCAGGAACAGCTGCAGAACTTCCC